TTTAAGAAAACAAACACCGCACCCTTTTATTCAGTCCTCCCTCCCAAACCATTGAAAATAACGCTGAACACAAAACTAGTTGCTGTGCTTTAGTGTGTATCTGGATTTAATCTCTTTAAATAGAACCATATCCCTTGTGGAGTCTGTGAGAGTCTTGCCATAGTTTTTAGAGAGCAAGGATTTTATTTTCCAAGTTTATTTCTTTGAGAAATTAGTATGGCTTCTTTGGAAAAAAGGATGTTATGATGAAAATTTCATTAACATGAAAAATGTTCATCAGCTGGCGGCAGTAGCCCAAAGGCACTATTTGAGGACGAAGAGCTTGAATATTGTCATTTCTGCTAAACTTGGAGGGTGGGGCAACCTTATGAACACATTGCTCCTACGCTGTTTTTCATAATTACACTTGGGTTTGGGGGAAACAGCTGGCTGGTAATGTGCTGGCCTTGAAGAAAAAGATTTGGGAGAGTGGCTGGGAGTTTCTTGTAGGGGCTGGCTGACATGCTGCTTCCAACTGTTGGCACTGTGACCGATGGAGAGCAGAGTCGTAGTTGCCTACAAAGAATAGGAGTTACCAGGTAGATGGAGGAGTACAGGCTTGTTTCTTGCTGCTTTCCCCTGGGTCTGCTGTCAGTTAGAATACTGAACGTCTGTCTTAGAAAAGCAGGTTTAGACAGATTGTTAGGTTCTGGAGAAGAAGAAAATAATCTGTAAGGAGCATTATGTTTAGTTGTGTTTTTTACCAGGTTGCTCCAAGTGAAAAAATTACAGAAATCTAATTATGGTTATTGTATTAATCTAAACTTTTTAACATATATATTCACATTGTAGGGATAAAACTGAAGAATTAATGGAATTAACAGATGAGCAGAGAAATGAACTGATGAAAAAAGAAAGCAGCAGACTCCAGAAAACTGGACACCGGGTAACCTACTCTCCTCGTAAAGAAAAAGCACTAAAAATTTATCTGGACGGAGCACCAAATAAAGATTTGACTCAAGACTGATACTCGCTATAGCATTTTCCCTGGGGAATTTTTTTGTTTAAAATAAAAAGGTTCACTACTACTGTGTAGTGCCATTACGGCAGGACACTCATTAGGTGTAAAGCGCTGACACCAGCACTGATTGGGCTGTGTTACCAATCAGAAGCGCAGTGCCCCGTTGGGTCACTGTTTGACTTGGAATCATGTTGTGCACTATAGTCAAATGTACTGTAAAGCTAAAAGGGATGTGCAAATAAAAGATTGGAACTAAAAAGTGGGCGGGGAGGGAAACGAGTGGTAATTTTTGAGGACAGTGTGCACATAGTAGCTAGTGAAACTAGCCTCAAACAGGATACTCATAGCTTAATAATAAAAGCTGTGCAAAGGCCATGAAAGAATCCTTTTTTGTTTGTTTCACTGATACACGCATTACCTCATCAGAGAGTCTGAAGTAAATGTTAACACATTGGTTGTAGAAAAGCAGCAGAAAAGGGTCGAAGATGAAATGGAAGTGCTGCACGTATAAGGTTTTAGAATATTCTTCCATAAAACAGGTAGGCTGAGAGGTGTCTGCAGAAAGCTGCCAGCAGGTGTTGGTTCATTTTGCAGCAGTGCTGTTGTAAGGTAAACTGGTTTTTAATAGGTTACGGAAGCCGATGAGCAGCTCTATTATATTGCGTTCAATGTGTAAATAAAATTTGCCCTATACATTCAACAGAACTGCAGTTCAGCTATTTACTATGGTATTTCTTTTCACATATCAACATTCGTTGTGTACATTTGGAAGTATAGTTACCTATTTAAATTTGTATTCATTTTATGTTTGACGATGCTGGGTAGTTTAGGGTTGTATTTCCCCTTGTTAATGAAGTTTTTGTTTGTTCAGCTACTTTTTGTACATTTTGTTTTTGAGACTATTACAAGTTTGCATCTTCTCCACCCACTGAAAGTCATTTTATTTTTCCCAGAGTTGATTCCGTAGCTATATGTAGTCAAATATCGGGGCAACCTCTAACACCTCAACATAGAAACTCGGTAGTTCAGGTTGTGGTACAGAGACTGATGCAGTCAACATGATTTCATTGCAAAGCCTAGGAACAGCAATTTTTTGCTTTGGTCCATAAAGATCAATAGAGAACAATTCTCCGTAGTTTTTGGAAAACCACCTAATTTATAACAATCACAAGATTTTGGTAAACTTTTTCATGCCGGATGCTGTTTACAACAATGAACATGCCAATAAAACATTTGTTCATTCTGTTGTGTTATTTTAATCATTAAGTGCTGTGGGTTTTATTTGAAAAATTATGCAACTATTTCATGGAAATACAGACTTCTCAAGGCAATGTCAGAATTGTAAGGCTGTGGGTATATATGTGTGTATATGCACCCCCCCATGTGTGTACACAGTATTGCAGGAAGTGTTTTGTAGCCTGTCTGCTGCTCCTCTTTGCTTATATTCGCACCAAATTTTCCTTCAACTGTAAGATTCCTTTTCCAGAATTGAATTCCTCACCAGTGAAACTTCTAAGTTCCAGATGTGATTGGCAGCTAAGTTCTGCTCCAGAGAGGAGAGAGTAACTGAATGTTCAGTTCTTCCTTGCATGCTGACCCACAGCAACCTAAAAATCCTGAGGAATCTGGCAGCTTGAAAACCAGGCGCTGCGCAGAGGAATTCCCTCGTTCTTCCGCTTCTGTTTGACCTGTGCCACCTCTTGTCCAACATAGATGAGGTGGAAGCAGGAGCAAAGGAAGCATGGAGTGAGTACCACCCAGCAGGTAGAGTACTTCATTAAACTACCATTTACTTATGTATATAGGCTGCTGAAGGATCCTTGGAGGTTTTGGAAGAGAGAAAAAAATTAACTATCAGATGGGTCCTGGACATTTGGAGAGGCAAAAATCTAGAGATGGAATAAAGCAGGGTTAAGAAAAGAATTCCAAAAACTGCTTGCTTAATCTCTAGCCCTATTTAGGAAGCTTCCGTTGGGAACTACTTTGAAGAAGTTAATTTTAAACCTGTAACTCTTGACAGAAGTCTGGATAGAGGACTGAGGGGCATCCTTATGATTTCCTGTCCAGTGGTGCACTTCCTTCTGCGTAAGTGTGCTGGAATATATTCTGGGTTGTTCTGGGAGACATTTTTCAGCATCTGCTTTACATTCTGATCATGTCAAACATTTTTGAGTTTGGCCATGGGCATTTTAAAGAAATGAAAAGCCTTGAGTTTCTAATTTGCTTACTTCAGCAGAAATCTTACGGAACTTCGGATGAATACTAACACTTTCTTTCAGGGATTGAATAATGTTATCCTTAAGTAGGGCAGTATTTACAGACAATTACTGCTTTTATGAAGTATTTTTTAACAGGAAAATTGCAATGATATTTAATTCTCTTTGTATAGATGGGCTGCCTCTAAAGCACAATCATTTTATTAGGGATAGAAAGGACAGGTAAATTCAGTGAGCTCTGAGCATGCGTATGTGTGCGTGTGTTGGTGTGAGAATTGGTGGTAGAAATGAATCCTTAAATTAAGTCAGACTGTTCTGATGAAGTGTCCTTCCTGTTCATAATGATAATGGTTAACATTTAATTCTGGTACCCAAGGAATTTGTTGAAAAGCTTTCATAAACCAGAAGCAGTGAAGGACTTGCAGGCTAGTAGCACAGTCTTGTAGCTGTTCTTGTTAAGTTGTTGGTGCTTTACTGTTCCAAATTAGACATAGCGGTAGGGATTATTTGGGAAGAAGCTCCATGAAAAGTTACTTGGCTGGAGCCTCATGTCATCTTTAACCATGTGAAACAACAGATGGTGAAATCTATACGCCAAAAAAACATTAATAGTGGAAAAGCCATTGTAGCAACCTGTTTGTTGAGCGGCTGGGAGCTGGGGAGTTTGGATTGCTATCGATTTAAGAAATCAGTGACCTGTTAAGATGCCAATGATGATCACATTTTGTAACATGCACAGATTTATGCCTATGAAGTGTATTAAAAGCACAAACTATTTCTCAAAGAATTTTCTCTGGATGTAATAGAATCAAGTAGGAGAAGCACAAGTCTCTAAATACAAGAAGCTATTTAAGTTGGCTTACTGCTAAACTGAAGTAATGAATTTATGTTCACTGCCTCTCTCTCTCAAAAAGGGTAGGTGATGATGGAGTATAGTCAACAGATCCTTTAATCATTACTACCCAAGAAGTATGTTCATGCAGTGCAGAATGCTGCCATATATGTGGCGCACTGTATTTAGCTCTAGCTTAGGCATAGCCTTGTAACTGTAGCTGCACTATTCTTCTATATATTGATACCGACAGACTCGGTGTACAACAGAGAATCTGTACTCTCTGTATTCAGCCCATTTGGCTGTTCTGCAATTTTAAATAGTTTATTTTGCCCTTGAGAGAGAGAGCCCTGAACAGTGAAGTTGAAAGTTCCTATATAGAAACCAACGTGTCATATGGATGTAAGTATGTACACAGTATTTGTTACTTATATGGAAAATGTTGTAGGCTTTTTTGATGTATGCCCCATATGTAGTGGGGGAGGCCAATGACCATGGTATGTGAACGTATAAAACGCAAGGGATACTCTAGCTATGGAACACCAGTTTTCAAGTTACACTGAAGGCTGCTGCAGGACAGATGGCATCCATTGTACACAGCTGAAAAGAAGCTCCGGGTATATTCATCTAAAAGGGTAAGCATCCTTTATCTCTTTCCATCCTTCCACAATCTGTGTGTGGTGGGGGGGACATGACACCCGGAATCTCTGTTGCAGCTTCACTGATTATATTTTCTAAAGAAAAAATAAAAAATTGCTTAAAATCAATGACTAAACCAGTCCAAAGTAGATGGTTCTTACCCTAGAAAAAGAAACAATTCTAAACATATGTACTCAAAAGTCACTCTACAGTCACTAATAACTTAAGATTATTTATGCTTATATGTATTTTTTTAAGGAGTACAAGTACTGATAAGTTTATTTCTAATGTACAAGGGGAAAGTACTAATCCAGAAGAAACACTGATATATTTCTCATTTGTCTTTGACAGAAGGTTTGGTCCAAGGATTGAACGAATTCAACAATAATTTGAACATGCAGGTTTGGTGCACAGAAAAGGATGCTCATTGAAGACCTTGTTTATTGCACTTCTATCCAGCAGTATGTGTTTAGGGTTTATATAAGCAAGACACTAGACAAAAATTTCTAGAAATAACTAACTAAACTGTCTGGTGATTGGACTTTAAATTTCATCTCCCAAAAACAGGTCTTGAGCTGAGTCAGGCTCAGGCTTCAAACCGGCTTGGTCCTCCAGACTTTCTAATTCCTTACGCACTTCCTGAATGACACTGCTTTCTTCATAATCAGAAAGAATATCTCTGGGTATCAAGCTGAGAAATGGCATCTCATCCATGATTAAGGGATCTTCTTTTTCATTATTCCTGGTTTCGTTGGCAGACGGTTCACACACAGATGTAGTGCTGTGGCTGTTGGAAAAAGAGACATCTCGTCATATAGTACATCTTTCACATTCTTTTGCTAGGTCCTTAATAAAATTCTTCATTCCCTCCCCACATGAAAGCATGTTAAATGTATAATACTGTCAGATCTACCATACTGACTTCATAAACATCTGGTTTTTACGTGCTTGACAGCTGGAGAGTTAAAGATGAGATTTCCACATACAGAGCTAGAACAAAGATCCTAATAGCAAAAAATGATACGGGGACACAAGATGGCAGTGGACCTTGGCACAATCTGGCCCTTCTACCTACAATCACGGTGACTAGTCCTTTCTGCTCATGTCATAATGCCAAGTTAAGGAACATGATACTCCAGCTTAAAAGGAATGCAGAAGAAACATTGTTTGCCATCAAGCTGTAGAGTTGAGAAAACTGTGAGCGTTATTTATATATTTGGTTCTAAATAGGATAGTGTAATAGCTGTATTTGCTGCTGTCTTTGTTTTGAAAAGTGGCTTCGGTTGCCTGCAAACAAACATCCCACATTTGTTGTAGGAACTTTAAAAGGGAACAAGAATGACTTATATTTGTTGACAAGAGGCAGGGGAATAGAACTTGATCACGGTGCATCCGCTATCTCTCTGCACTGCATGGGACAGAACAGGGCTACGGGTTCTTGTGACAGTGCAAGGTGACCACTGCTTGTGCCAGGCACCCCTCAACAACTGCTTACAGCTGCAGCTTCTTTCGCTGGAAACAAAGGGTAAATGAACTAAAGATGTTCCTGAAGCTTATTTTGTGTACGCTTTGAATGCTTGTATGTTTTGCTTTCTAGGAGTTCTAAGACTTCTGTTTGTGGGCAGACTATCCCCGTATTCTCTAGGATATAATCTGGTAGTTTGTGTTTATCACTCACTAGTAATATTTAGCCAAGGGCCATTTCAAGCAGAGATGCGCTGTTTCTTTTAATAAAAAATATCTGAATCTTCAAATTCAGCACGTAAATTCACAGAAGCAGCTTTATCTTACTGTCCATGCGAGTCACAGGCAGGTGGTATGCACAGTATTGCTGTATTTGTGATAACCCTAAACAGATAAATAATTCTTGTGACTATAGCTGGACAGTTCAGTTATACTCGCACCCTAATTCATTTCTGTATTTCTGTATCTTCATCTGAAATGTTTTCCTTCTTACTAGACATGACATTTGCCGACTTACCTTCCCTGAGGTTAATGGTACTTGCACATTAACTAAAATTTTGGTGCTGGAAAGGATGGGATCAACTCTGCTTGCTTCCTTAGGTCACATTTATGAAACAAAATGTTATCCAGTTACTTTCCATGCATGAAAAAAATGTAGAAACAGTTGGACACAGAAGAAGAGAGAAATATTAATCTACATCTCTGTCACAGCTATGGTGTCTTGTTGAAAGTTAATGTAATGAAAATGGTAGTGTAGGAACAAACTTGGAGAGCTTATTTCATCGATAACATGTAAATTTTCTAAAAATGCTTTGACTGAAATCTCACTTTCTCCTAATGAAATTGCAGATAATGCAAATAACTGTCCTTTTAAAGAATTATTAAAGGCATGATATATTAAAGGTTTTAGCTTCTAGCCGACAATACGGAGTCAGCCTGCTTCCTATTCCGTGAAACTCGATACTGAAGAAGTCTGCACAGTATGAAGTGTTTCAAGTCTGAACAGCAGATTATAAGTCAGCTGTAGGGAAACTGGCTTCTCAGGTTAGTTTGAAACTGAAGGAAAGTGCAAGCAAAGATACCTTTTTTTCTCTTGTGATAGAAATGACCTTCTGTACAGTTGATCAATAGTACAGGAACGTGCCTGTTTATACTTACTGCATGTATTAAAATGTCTTTAATATGTCTTATGTATGAAAGCAAGCAAAACATCTAAGAGAATCCCGATCTAACATAGAAAGTTGTGGACAAGAGCTGTATGTAGAGAATTAAATTGGAATGATGCATCTCGACAACTGTTAGTACTTTCTGATTGATTAAAAAGCAGCACCAGCCTGGTACACAAACTTAATTCACGCTGGATTAAGGTGAGCAGTAAGTTTGAGAAAGTTTCAAGGCTACTGATGAGAAAAGCGGTCAAAATACTTTCTAGTGTGGAAGAATCTGCAAATTCTGCATCTATTTACCACAGAAAGAGACCCCTCAAAAATTTCAAGCAGCTTGCTTGCTTGCCCGCCCAGTTTTGATCTTTACCTCTGAGGTTGGCAGATCAAGCCACTTGCGCATGGGCATTGCTCAAGTACTCCATCGGGTTCCAGTTCCCAGGTGATCAGGTTGAGAAGTCTGTTTGAAGGATCATGGCAGGGTTCACCTTCTTCAGGTAATGGAGTGCACACAGGAAACAGTAGTTCTGCATGCCAGAGTAAATTAATTTTATGAGAAGTCGTTAACTGTCTGTCTGCTAAACTGAGATGACCTAGTCTTTAAGTCTACATGCAAGATATAAAAGGACAGACTTGACCTCCTTTTAAGTTCCCTTATGTGTTAGGGAGCCGTAACTTGATGTTCTTTCCACTAGGTGGAAGTAAGACATTTGAAGTTTATGCTTAATGAGCAAGATCAACTCCTGCTTCTTCACTACTGTCAATACAGTAGTACTGCACAACTCCATCCCTTGGAGATTTGGAAGACTGTTCTAAAAGAAAACTAACATTACAGTGAATTCTTTGCAATGCAGAGCATTTATGGTTTAAAATCATATCTCTATTTTAGGACTTATTTTTTCTATTTCTTTGCAGAGGTTACAAATACAGAGCAATTGTTCAGAGACTAAATAATGAGGTTACAAGAACTACTACTCAGCCATTTAATTTGTTACAGTAACTTTACAATACACAAAGCTGTCTGCTGGCATTTGGGGCTTGGCACCCTTGTTTCTGCACAGGGGTGAATTTCAACCTGTGTAAGAAATTATTTAGAAGGATAAGTCATTTGGGTTTCCTGATGCTAGTAACTTATAGTGTCAATCTTGAATTCAGCTTGTCCAGATGTTCCTATCAAACCTCCCTTCCTCCTCTTGTCTTCATTCGCCTCATTTTTTGTGGTATGGCAGAATAAAATATGTGAAGAGTTCAGAATTTAAGTTTTTAAAACAGGCTTGGTCAAAATGCATATACACACACACATATGCTTTGATACACATGACTTATCAGTTCCTAATTCCAAAACAGATTATATCTTAAACAGCAAATGCTCCATAGTTTACTACAGTTTTATATAAAAATACACATGTAAAGAAGTCCAATCTTTATTAGGACAACCTTTTGCAATACTCTAGTGATGGAGAAAGGCCTCAAGGTTAGGCCTAACCTGAAAAACCCTAAAGCACTGCTAAAGCAGACAACCATAGAGAATAAAAATTCATTGTTATTAATCAATAGCTCTATTTAAAGTTTTAATAAGTGTTCCATCAATTTTAGTCAATATTCTTATCTATTGTATTGTTCCTTTCTGAGTTACAGGTTTGTACTAAATTTCATTTCAAGCCAAGCACTAACTTACTCTCACATTAGTGTGAATGTATTATGCAGCTGAAACAATCATCATGAAGACACAGCTTGTTTGGATCCCATAGGAAATCGGGGTTACAGAAGCAGTATTACCCTCACAGTAGACTAGCGTAGTGCTACTAACACCAATGGGATGCATACTACTAATTTACTCATTGCTGCAGCATAAGCTGATTCAGTCCTGCATGGTGAAGGTAACAGGTGTTTATTTAAAAGTGCTCATTTCAGAATCAGAGTACAAAGAAATCTCTGACAGAGCTTGGCAAAACCTGTAACTGCTTTAGGCAGAAACCTGATGAAAGGGAAAAAAGAAAAAACCCTGCTCTAACCAAAACTTGCTGAAATCGAACTTATTATCATCAAAGGTCCAATATGTAATGCTCAAAATTAACAAGGAAAAGCTGAGCAGACCCATGTGCCTTTAAATGGTGTTTGAGCTTTCTCCTTTGTTTTCCTGAAATGCCCTAGTAGCCTGATCCACCAGCAGCCTGATGGCGGGACACGCAGCCCAACCAGCAGCGAAGGTACAAGGTCAACACTTGCTCATAGCAAGAGACAGGAAAAAAGCTGTCTAGAGAAGTATGTAGAAAGATGGTTGCAATTGTATCCCATCACTACAAAATTAAGGTGAACTATGCCAAAAGCAGCGAGGAACTAGTATGGGTATAAAACAGCAGAAGTTGAGCCCTGACCAGGCAGGATTTAGGACTGATTTCAGGCCTGATATTTTCTCCTCCCTTCTGTAAATCAAGTTTTGTGTTCCCATGTGGACTGACAACAAAATCTGGAACATCATTTCTCTATGTATCTTGGCTGTCCCGTCAGTATTGCATAGCGTGGTGCCCTGGAAGGCTCATATAAAACTTGGAGTATGAAATGTTATCTGTGGTCTGATTCTGATGGTCTGCTTGCTGATGGGAAGGAGAAGCCACTTTCAATAATTCTCATTAATTTCTCTTGTATGTTTTAAGATCTCTTATTTTTGCTCTATTGGGGGAAAATTTGACACACAGCTCTGCTACTTTTGAATGACTGAGACTCTCCTTTAGAAACAGTAGATTTTTGTGCTTCTCATGCTGGTCTCATCTCTAGCGTGCAATAGGCTTTTCTTTCACCATTGTGCAGCCCTATCAGACTGTTTCTCACTCCTAATTCTATTAAACTTTTGTAATGAAGTTAACATGGTGTGCTCCACAGGCCAAAGCAGAATGACCTATTGATTCTGTAGAGATTTAACCACTTCACCCAGGCAAAAGAGCTAAATATTAACACTCCTGTATTATAAAATGAATAGGATAAAAAGCAAAACCTCTGTACCTTTCTGAAAAGCACAGCACATTCCAGGGTTGCAGTCATGTTGGTTCTCACAAATGGTGCCGTTCTCTCCTTTTGAAGTGGATTTCCTGCACTCACCCCAAACGCAAAGCTGGTCTCCACAGCATTCAACATCCCGTGAGCAATGCTTGCAAATGGAAAAAGCACGTGACAAAACTGTCACTCTAGCACTAATTGCATATATCAACAGCCAGCTAAACATAGAATTAGACCCTGCTCCTGAAGACAACTGCATATATGTGCTTTAAATATGTGCACGTCATACAGAACTGCTTAGGTTCTCAACTTCAAGCATACATAGACCTAATTGCCAGACGGAAACCTCCGCAGCAGAGTAACAGCACTCTTTCTATACTATTATACTTTCAATCTTAGAAAATCTAAATTCTTATTTTAGCATTTACATGAAAATTGATTAGCGGCCAAATATCCTACGGTGTAATATGGATTTCAGGACAGCCTTTTGCAATCAAAGAAAACAAAAATTAATAAATGAAACATCAATGGAAAACATTACTGATTTTTTTCCATTGTTAAATGCAGTCAGGAATTTACAATTTGTTCAGAAGGATTGCTTTCAAAGAGCAAAGCAATAAAGTCTTAGTAAAATCCAATTTTTAGCTGTAATAAGAACCAGACCTCATTTGTAATCAAGAATCTTTGGGAAAAAATCTCTTTGAAAAAAATTTCTTTGAAAATCAGAAATGCAAATCTCTAGCTAAACATAGCTTTGTATGACAATTGTCCCAGTGCTTCAACTATACACACCTAATAAATCAACCTAGTAAAAGTAGTGTCTCACTTTGTTTCTTTTTTTAGGTAGTTTGATTAACATCTTAAAGATTCCTAGTAGGTCAGCTTTTTAACAGCTTTTTTTCTGTCTGTGTAAAGCCCTGTCCGGGCAGCCAAACAAAATCAGAATTTCTTTTCCAGTGGATCCTACAGGAAATGCTTAACACAGAGCAAGAAGTAGGACTATGCTAGCACTATTAAGACCTGCTAATTAAAAAGAAAAATGTTTTGTAATTGTGGGGGTTCTAGATCAGGGATGTGATCCCACCACCTTCAGTCTGAGCTCACTTCACAACAGGAGTGTAGGACCCAATTTTTACTTTCTTCATCCTACAAATGTTCTACATGAGAACTGCAAAGAAAGGGGGGGGGGGTAGGTGCTAGGTCATCCCAATCTTGATTTTTAATTACTCCATGTTAACATGAAAAATTATCAGATTAGCATTTTCTAAAATACGAAGAATAAGCTTTCTTAATGACACGAGCATATATTCAGGACTTATGTTTAAGCTAGCATTCACTCCACTGAAGTCAATAGAACTCCCTGAAGTTATCAAGATAAGTATTTAAATCGTTTCAGGAACAGCCTTGTGCTTTTAGATTATTATAATCTTATTGATTACATGACTTTACAGCAAGGTTTGCTTGCTTGTAGACTTAACTGTGTGCAAATGCTTTGAGGACTGAATTTGTTTCACAAGAGGCCATCAGCAGAACTTAGATGAAAAGGGACAGTCAGATAAAAGGCCTTTTTCCACAGACTGCTCTTAAACTGGATTTTCACCACAGAAAATGCCTGAACTTCTCAGGCACCTGTCACATACAGAAGATAATCTAACCATAGCTACTACCAAGAACATTTATCTTTTAGCTCAAAAGACAGGCATTTACCGCTTCCTGAGGTTCACAGATTCAAATAATGTAAGTGATCCATGTAAGAGGATCATTTACAGTAACAATTGCACTACAGCATTGTACAAGTTGTCAATGAAGGGAAGAGTGCAGGCTGCTGCAATTCTCTGTGAATCAAGAGCTGGAAATACCCAACTGTCAGCTGAGCGTTAGAAGCTGGCACAGTATTTCCTCTTTGCCCATTCCACTGGCAACCTACAATGTGTTAGTTTACGCTGCCCTTAGGCCACCTAACAAGTCAAGTTTGAGTCAGGAGGAGCAGAGTGTAGGTTTTAAAGCATATGAGAACAGAAACCTTATAACTTAGTTGTGTTAACAAGCAGAAAAAAACCCAACCCAAAACACTCTACACATCCTTTTTGAACCTCATGCAGAAAGCTTTGCATCTTGTTTTCTGTGAATTTTGACTTGCTGACATTAGCAACAATAACTTAATATATTGAGTTTCTAAAGACCACATAAAATCACATCTCATTCAGGACTTACTGTATGCTGGGTTTTACAGAGCTGACACTTGTATTCAAAGGTGGAGAACTGGCAATATTTCCCTGTTTCACAGTCTTCATCAATGATACACTCCTGAAGAAAAGGATAAAAGTGTAATTTGCACTGTGTAACAGAAATCCATACCTCTTCTTGAAATACCAGAAGGTCTTGATTGATTATATTTCTTATTTGGGAACCAAGAAAAAAAGCTTGCTTCAGTTCTTCATACAACCACAGTTCTGTAATAGAACAATGCTATCTCCCTGGCATACCTAAATATTTTGGTCTCAAAAGTGTTAGGTGGCTTTACTTCTTGTATAAATATTAATACCAGCAACCTCAAAAAAATAAATTATCTTGTTCTGCAGGGATATTGGGTTTGTGTGGCAAGGTTTTGGTAGCGGGGTGGCGCCTCTAAGATAACTTATTTAAGAAGAGGGGGGAAAAAAACCCTGCACAACAGCAATTGCAGCCAGAGAGAGGAGTGAGAATATGTGAGAGAAACAACTCTGCAGACACCAAGGTCAGTGAAGGAGGAGGGGGAGGAGGTGCTCCAGGCGCCAGAGCAGAGATTCCCCTGCAGCCCGTGGTGAAGACCATGGTGAGGCAGGCTGTCCCCCTGCAGCCCATGGAGGTTAATGGTGGAGCAGATATCCACCTGCAGCCTGTGGAGGA